ATATATCTTATTAACCAAGCGCGAGGGCCGTACTGGGAGAATATCGGCCCGAGGTCTTGACAGTACGGACCGAGCGCAGCGAGGTCCGTACAAAAAAGACCGAGGGCCGATATTCTTCCAGTACGGTCCCGAGCAAGCTTGGTTAATAAGAGATTTATTATACGACTGAAGTTCAAAGGGACACAAGTGCGGTATAATTCGGGACCATTCAGGACAGTGCCCGGTCCAATACTGAGAGAATATTGACCAGCAATAGAGCATTTTGATTGGTTGATTTTAGTTATTGGCCCTCTGACTGCCTGAGTCGTGCGATAAAAGGGAGTATTGTCTATTACAGAGTACCTCATAGCCACTATCATAGGTGTTTTTGTTTTTTTTTTTAACTCAGAAATTACACAATGCTTCCATGTTTAAATTTGCAGGCACATGAAAGTACAGCAAATTACATATTAACTGAAACAGCTCTACAAAGGCTTACCTCTGGTACCAGGAGATGTCAGTTTTGACAATGCCAAATTCTTGCCCACACTACCACCCTTGTCAAATGAACTGATATCACCCCAAGAGGAGGGATCAGAATCTAACAGGGCATCCGAAGACCCAGGGGACAATATGAATGTATTTCTAAAGGGAGACATCAAGCCTGGATTTGTTCCATTGTTGTTGTTCTTTCCAGTTGTACTTTGTAGAGTATCTTGATTTGCTGGTTTTGGTTTTATATTTGTTAAATCTGAGCTACTTCTGTTTCTGGTGCCTGAATAGCTGTTTTCTTCAATCATTGTTGGTGAATCGTCATTTGATGAATGATACACTGCCTCCTCTCTCCTCCTCTTATCTGCTAGAGAAACAAATTACAATGAACTTTCACAAGCACATACCTCACTCAGACTGGAATTTGATATCTAGCAAAAATATATTATTGAATCCTGTTCCAGAGCTGATTTTCTGCATAATTAATCATACCAAAGGCAGTTTTTACAGTTAACATTCCGAACAATCAGGGTTCTCAATTGAACTGTCACCAGTAACACCTGTCACGGGTGTCTCTAGTAAGTGTTACAGCTGTCTAATTAAAATCGTCTATTAAATGTAAAAGAACAACTTTGTGAAGAGGTAACTGAGTTAACTATTGACTGTCAGCTGGTTTGAAATGAATAGCCTGTCAGCAGAGCGCTAGTCTCCCTTGCAGTCTTTTCTGGCGTCGTCATGCAAGCAAAAACTCCCCCACCAATGGCTGCTCACATTCGAACAACATTCCTTTCCCATTGTAATGTGTTATCCAATCAAAATAAAGTTATTGTCTGACAAACAAACAATGAACACACGATATTTTTATTCCAGCAAATTCACAGGAAGCGCATTAGCGTTAGTTTTTAAAGATGGAATGCCATGTCATCGAAACTCTGAAGAAAATATTAGATACTGTAATTTCCAGCCGTTTACCCGCGGGTAATCTGTTGATTTTGCCTAAAACACGCGCCCCTGTGGGAGGGAGGTGCGGGTTATGTAACAATTTTGAAATCTACTGGCGGTTGAATTAAAGAAAATTCTCACCTACCTGCGTTTCCACTCCTCAGATGAATTTTATTGTATTAAGAGTGCCACAAAGGGGTGCGAAAACATGATGCCGACTCAAGTTTATTTCACGCCCAATTAGCTGTGCGACGAACAAATTACTATCGGCACGCGTGTAAACAAAACCTTGATGGTCACAAAAATAAACCGAGGATGACCGGTGCATCAGTAACAAATTTCCAGTTAACACTAGCTTCAGCTGAAGAGAATTTTCCTGTTTAAAGGGACTTGTTAGGCCCAGTAGAACCAGAGATATCAAGTATTTTTTTGAGAAATCAACATGGCACTGAACGATCATTCGCACAAAATGTGGCCACGAATTTGCATTCTGTCGAGTATGCAACATTGTGAATTGTAGAGCACATTTGTACAAATTTTCTTTGTTTTCAAGGTGCGGGTTATCCACCAGTGCGGGTAATCTGTTGAATTTTTTTT